TCTAAATAATAGCTATATGTAATTCACAATTATCTTCTAATAAATGAATAAATAAATACGCTTAATTGCAGTTTTTTTTTTTTTTAAAAAAAAAAAAAAAAAAAAAAGTGTAAACTACTGTTGACAGCTATGAGCAAGCTTCCATACAAAAAAGTAAAAGCAGATACTGGTAAAAACCAAGTCTTTAAGCTTGTAAAGACTGAAGAAAACAAAGAGAACTTTACAGTTCCAAAAATTAGTAAGGTTGTGAACAGCAAATATAAAATATATACAGTAGCAAACATAGCAACAAAAAAGCCTAGTTTAGACTAGGCTAGTCAAGTTGAAGCTGATTCAAAAGCTAGAGAAGAAAATAAAGAAGGAAACATTCACATAACTAGTAACAACAAACAAAAAAAAAAGAAACACCAAGTCAAAAACACATGCAGAAAGTAAACAATTCAAAGCATGTGTCTGGAATTAATGAACAAGAACACATGAATGCTAATGCAAGTACAGAACACAAGAATGACTACAGCCATCAGCCAATTACAAATCCTAAAGAGTCTAACAACAAGAATTCACTATACAGTAACACAAAGCCAAAACAATGGTCTGAGTTATTTATGAAACTCAAGAGGGAAAAAGTGATGTTTACAAATTCCTCTCTTAGCCAAAAAATATATATGCTCTAAAAATCAAAACACCCTCATTTTAGAGATCCAAAGTCTAAGCAACATCTCTACTAATGATATAATTACAGCATTAGCAGCCAGCTTTAACAGTTAAACTTTGAAACATGCTTATAGGGAACACTAAAAAAATTAGCAATCAGGTTCTTGATGCTTTTCAATATGTTGGCCAAATTGTATCAATAAAACCTTTAATGTTTAAGAGCACTACTGTCTGCTCTGACCAATGGCTGATAACATTTGAAACCAGAAGTACTCATATCAGCAATCATAAAATAACAACTGAGTAGAGGGAAGCACCCAAAATCTGCTTTTATTGTAAAAAAGAAGGTTACTTTAAAAGAGACTGTAAGGAGCTTAAAACCTCAATTGAAACAAGATGACAACTAAAAGAAGCTAAAGAACTTAGAGAAAAAAAGAAAGCTCAAAGCCTTTTGGTGTCAGAAACTAGCTTCAGCCAAGATAACCTATATATTAATAATATACAAGAAAAAGAATAAACTGATGAACTAACTAATACAAAAGTTATAACTTCACAATATATCTCTGAGGATGAGAAAATAATAGCAACAGATGCTGTCTCAAAAAAAAAAATGATGAAAATGCAACAATTATAAATAGTACAACAAATATAGAAGATACTGATAGTATAGAAGTTGAAGAAGTAGATGCTGAAATGGCAGTAGCTTTCAACAACCCTGAAAGTAACCCAGAAGAGGCACCATTTGCTACTGTAACTTACAAAAAAAACAAAAAACAAACAATAAGAAAAAAGACCAAACAAGAATAAGTCACCTTTACAAGAATGGAGAATGCTCCTTTCAGAGCCATCTACTAAGAGTTTAACACAAGACTACCAAGTCCAGTATAGCCTTCTCTCTATACACTTTAATCAATGATCAAAATTGCTACACTAAATGTTAAGGGTTTAAATAACAAGTCCAAAGCTTAAAAAACTTTAACTTTACTAAAATATTATAATTTAGACATTATATTAATACAAGAAACCAGCTTAAAAGATGCTTCTCTAAGGAACTTCCTAGCTATACAATGGGACTTTGACTCTTTCTAGTCCTTGAAAACAGCAATACTAGCTGGAAAAAGAAACATCAAATTAACAAACATAAAAGAAGCTCTGGATGGACGAATAACTATAGCCAAAACAGAAATTAAACAGCAGCATTTCAATTTTACAAATGTCTATGCACCTCCAAAACTAGAAGATAAAATCTCTTTTTTTAAAAAGTGGACTCTAACCAAAGATGATAAAAGCATTCATATCATAGAAAGGGACTTTAACACCAACCTAGATCTAGAAACAAACAGGATAATCCAAGCAGCTGCACAACATGACAGCTTAAGAAAGCTTATGAAAAATCTCTTAACCAACTATATCAACAGCAATTTGCAGAAAAAAGAACCTTTTCTCACTTTTTACCAGACAACACAAGGAGGTCAAAGAATAGCAACCAGACTTGACTATATTTATATCAAAGAAAACTATAGCCATCTTTGTAAAAAGGCCTCAACACATTTTGGAAACTCTGATAATCTTCTTGTTGAATGCAGGCTTAGCTTAAAGCCTAAACATAACAGCAATCCAATGTGAAGATTTGACAGAAAAGTTTGGAACATTCCTGAACTTAAATTAAATATAATTCAAGAAATACATAATATCCAAAACACTGAAAACTAGGATCTGCACAAATGTTTCATACAGTCTATGATAAGATCATTCAAACCTCAACCCTTACCAAAAAAAAGAATACAAAAGATCACAGAAGAATCTGCAGTCTAAACAACAAAATAGCAAAAAACCTCAATTTAGAAGAGCTCAATCTTGTCATAGAAGATCTTAAAATTGAACTTCAGAGAGAGTTAGCTACAATGTCAGACAAATGGTATGTAAGGTCCAATGCAAAATAGGTTGAGGAGAGAGAAAAGTCAACTAAATACTTTTATTCATTATACAAGTTCAAGCATTCAACCAGTTGCAGTACTAAGGTCAAAGATTCAAACAATCTGACTAGGGTTTCACAAGAGCATACTATAAACTACATTAAAGAAACCTATCAAAAAATATACAAAAGTGAAGATATAGATGAAAAAGCTGCAGAACATATTACAAACAATTTATTGAACTTCTAGAAAAACAAATAACAAAAGAAGAAATTAGTCAAGCTTCCAAATAACAAAGCTCCAGGATCTGATGGCCTAACATATGAATTTTATAAAGATACTAAAGAAACAATCCTTCTTATGCTTACTAAACTGTTCAATCAAATGCTAGAAACAGGCCAAATTCCAATCTTTTGGAGCAAAAGCCTTATCACATTGATTCCCAAAAAGTCAGATGAACTAACTAATATAAACAACTCAAGACCAATATCACTAGTGAACTCTGATACCAAAATCTTTATGAAACTTATTGCAAACCAAATTAACCCCATATGTAACAGCATTATTGGACCAGCCCAACAGGCCTTTATTGCCAACAGGGCTATAATGGATGCTGCACTTGATGTACTCATATTGTTAAGAAATCAGAAAGACCAATCAAAACAGCACTGGCTATTCTACTTGACCAACAAAAGGCTTTTGACAGAGTCAGACACCAATTCTTACAGATCATACTCAACAAAATGAACTTTGGACACAAGTTCATAAAGGTGATAAACTCACTTTTTACTAGCCAAAGTGCTTATATAGTTGATTTGGGCTATATTTCAGAACCATTCAGAGTAGAAAGATGAGTCAGACAAGGTGATCCATTATCACTACTGCTCTATGTCTTAGCTATTAACCCTCTAATTAGCATCATTAATAAAAACATCAAAGGAATTCTAGTTAACAACACTAGATTTAGAATCACAGCATATGCAGATAATATATTACTGGGAATCAGATCTCTTGAAATTTTGCTCTATTATGAGAATGCCTCTAATGCTAAAATAAACAAAGCCAAGTCAATTCTAATTCCTATTACAACCAATGCCAAGAGAGTAGAACTTACTGGGTAAGCAGACTTTAAGATGCTTGAAAACGAATAAGGCCTGATAACAATACTAGGCTATAATATTGATACAAAAGAAAACCAGAAAGAACAATATGGGATAGTCTTACAAAGAAAATTAAAACTAAAATCCAAGAGCTATCCCAAAAGAACCTCTCATTTAAAGAAAAAATCCTAGTAGCCAAAACTCTACTAATCTCCAAAATCTGGTACTTAGCATATCTTCTTTCTCCAACCAGAAGACAGCTAAATGAGATCAACCAACTACTAATAACTTGGATTAAAAACAACTCCAGAATGTTACCACAATACTCAGTTTTTCAGCTCAGATATGAGTAAGGTGGGCTAACTGCCCCTAATCTAAAGGACATGCTAGACACCAAATTACTTTCGACATGACTGAAACTGCTGTTAAGCAAAACTTTTTGGGCCATCATAGAAAGGAATACCATCGAATCTGAACTTTACAGAAGAATTAGCATAATCCCCACTTAAGACTAAAGGCTGGATAGATTGATGGAAGCCTTACCTCAATGCATGAAAAAGATTTAAGAGCAAAATCGAAGCAAGCAGTCCCTGGCCATGGTCACTAATGGATATTAAGATAGGAGAAACACCTGGCAACCAATACAAGGTGGGAAAAGCTCTAAAAAGCTTAAATGCCTTACTGGACCTCAACACAAAATATGAATGGCTACATACTAAAGGAATTTTTAACAAGAAAAAGGACATAATGTAGCATCTGGCCCATTAAGCTTTACCTTTTGGCTATCAACTTCTACATATCAGCCAGAATAACCTTGGAAACTGCCCCAATTGTATATACACCACCCAAATACTTGAACACTTTGCCTTAAAATGCTCTTTGAGCAAAATAATTTGAAAAGCAGCTTACAAATTCCTCAAGTATGCAGCTAAGCCAATTTCATCTACAATAGAAAACATTTCTAGGCTACCAACATAACATCAATCCACAAAAAAAAAACAGCTATCTGGATTCATATAACTGCTATTTACAAATTTTGGTGCTAGTATACTCAGGCCAGATGAGGAGACAAGACTATACCTATAGAGACAATCACAAACATAATAAACCTTAAAATAAAACATGAAATTAACTTACTACAAGCTTTGGTAATAAGAAAACTATCTACCAAAGACAAAAAAATAAATACTATTCTAAAATTCATCAAATCACCTTCATAAAATCTGTAATTAATTAAAATCAAAATCAAAAACATTATAAATAAAAAGTACACTTGTGTTTTTTTTTAAAAAAAAAATTAATAATAATAATAATAACTAATAATAAAAAAATAATAATAATTCATTCTATAACAATGGTTAAATACTTCAGTTTGTCCTAATTTATCAATATCTTTTGTAACAATTTGTAGGTATTTGCTAAGAATATCTTGGATATGGAATTTGTTTTTATTTGTTTCTAATTCCTCTAATCCACCTTGAACTAAGAAGGTTTGAACATTTTTAATTTCATGTATAGGAATTATTTGAAGAGTTTTTCAAACTTTATAATCTTTATACTAATAGTATTCTTTACAAGAAAAGGTTTCAGAATCAATTTGAATTTCCTTTGAAGTTATTTTGTAGTAGTGTTGATCAGGACTTCCTTTCTCTAAAACAACAAGACTAATTCCAAGTAGGTTCTTCTCAATTTTCTCTTCTTTATCTTCATTATAATCCTCCTCATCACTTTCATTTTCTTCTGAATCTTCTTTTGCTTTTATAGATATTTGGATAATTTTTTGCAAAAAATTTCTACTTTTATTTTTTATTGATTATAGTCAATGACTGCTTTGGCTTTTTTAAGCTAATCATTTTCTAATACTAAAATATGGATATTTGTATTAATGCTTCCATATTCACTGCTATTACTACATTACCCAAATGCACAGAAATGTTATTAATAATTCCTTCACTAGATTCTTATTCCTATAAATCTCTGTAATTATTTGGTTAGACATTTGGTTAGGTTTTCTGTTGAGAAATTCTATAAATTGTTTAGAAATAATGCTTGTTAAAGAACCACAACTTGTTCTTTACAGATTATAGATATGTTTTTAGGTTTTTCTTTACCAAGTGTTGCTTGTTTTTCTTGTTTTTTTCTGTTTTGGGGTTCATTTTGGAGCTAAGGCTTTCCTAAGCACATTATAATATTGGGAAACTTTCAAAAGTTAGGCAACAGTTACATTGGTTTTCAAATGTAGAAGATTATCTACCAGATAATAAGGTACTGTTCTCTGTTCAATCAAGAGTTTTTTTACTAAGCAGTAGTTTTTTCCTTTTTTTTTAAATCGATTTTATGGTTTACAGCTTCTTTTTCCTTTTCTTGATTATGAGAATTATTCATATTAATTAAATTTCAGTTAACATCCATATCATCTACTTTACTTCTTTGTCTTTTAGATAGATTGTCATTAAGTTAAAACAATGGATCATTTACAATTTAAATACTTATTTGGAAATACATTTTGTTGTGGTTGGTTTGGACCAATATTTTGATTAATTGCAATGAAAGTTGAATGGTTTTCTGGCTGCTAAGGCATCTAAGAAAGTGGTTAAGTTACTGAAAGAGTAGTTTTTAAAACTAAAAATAGATTATTGTTCAGATATACTGCAGGTTGGATAAGTGGGTTTGTTGATTGATTTACTGGTTGTTGCATAGGCTAGTTAGGTATTTTTTGATTCAACAGCCATCATATTTGGTGCATTATTCTGATTCTGGTTTGGAATTTGCTAGTTTTGAGCAGTTGGCATATTGTTAGTTAACAATTTCAAGAAATATATCCAGTTTGTCTGCATTTATAACAAATAACGTTATTAAGTTGCTGTTAGCAATTTGAGTTGTTTCTATGATTTTGGTTGTTATTTCTTCAATTAAAATTATTATTGTTCATATTAAGGTTTTCAATTGTTTGTATTAAAGTTCCAATAAGCTGAGTTAGATTATTATTATAATTTGAAGCAGTATAATTGTAGGCAAAATGATTGTAATTCATTACTTTAGAAGCAGAATTTATATTGGAAGAATAAAATTTTGAAAGAGCTTCAGGATATGCATTATTATTTTCTTCTATTTGCCTTGCTGCTTCAATGGTTTGTTCAAGAGTTACATTGTTCCTAAAGGTTAAATAAGGTCTTAACTGGTAGGCAATTTCACAACAAAGACCTTTGGTAAAGTTTTAACTTTTATCAGATTCAGCCCAGTTGTTCAAATTGATATTCAAAGCATATTGGTCAACAGTTTTATTTGGTTCTTGCATTTGATTTTGTAATTCACTTTTTCATTATAAGAGTTTTTCTTGGGAACAAAACTGTTCAAAAACATTTGTTTACAATTTTGATTATTATTATCTTCTCAAAATTGAAAGTTTTGAGCATTATTATTTGCAGTTTAGATAAACCACACATGAGCTTTATTTTGTAGATATCCTCTTACTACTTCAAGCTTATAAACATTAGTATACTGGTTGATAGTAGCACATCTTTCAAACTCTTCTAACCATTCTACTGGGTCTTGAATTTCACCTAAGAAGGCAGGCATTGGGACATTATTTCAAATTTTAAGTTGTTGGCTTAAAGCTTAAAGAGAGTTAATGAGTTGTTGGTTATTTTGAACTATTGTATTTGTTTATGATTCAGATTCATGCTTAGAAGAAAAATTATGTTTAGTATTAGTTGAATCAGAAATAATATAGTTATTTTGATTTGTAAACTAAGTGTTTTACTAATCTTAGGATAAGTAAAATAAATACTATTTAAATATTGGTTAAGAATATTAAATTGAAAAGTGTTTTGTAAATAGAAGTCAAATAATTCAAGAAAATTGAATAGCAGATAAATTTTGAATAAGCCAATTTCAAAAGAAACAAAATTCAATATATTTGTCTATAATTGTCTTTTGAATTAGTTTTTATTAAAACACAAAAAAACTCTTTCTGGTTTATTTCCAGAACTTATAAAAATACAAAATTTTACAAACTACTATTAACAGCTATGAGCAAGCTTTTATATAAAAAAGTAAAAGCAGATACTGATAAAGATCGAGTCTTTAAGCTTGTAAAGACTAAAGAAAACAAGGAGAACTTTACAGTTCTGAAAATTAGTAAGTTTGTAAATAGCAAGTATGAGGCATATGCAACAACAAACACAGCAACAAAAAAGTTCAGTTTAGACTGGACCAGTCAAGTTGAGGCTGATTCAAAAGCTAGAAAAGAAAAAAAGAAGAAAACATTTATATAACCAGTAACAACAAACAAAAAGAAAAAGAAATATCAGGTCAAAAACACATACAGAAAGTAAACAACTCAAAGCACATGCCTGGAATTAATGAACAAGAACATATGAATGTTAATGCAAGTACAGAACACAAGAATGACAACAACCATTAGCTAATTACAAATCCCAAAGAGTCTGATAACAAGGATGCACCAAACAGTAACACAAAGCCAAAACAATGGTCTGAGTTATTTATGAAACTCAAGGAGAAAAAAGTAGTGTTTACAAATTCCTCTTCTAACCAAAAAATACATTCTAAAAATCAAAATGCTCTTATTTTAGACATTCAAAGTCTAAACAACATCTCTACTAATGACATAATTACAGCATTAGCAACCACTTTAGAAGAAGAGCTAATGGCTGCAAAAATCCATATGTCTAAAGGAAAATGATTTTCTCTTGAAGTAGTTTTTAAGAATAATGAAAAAGTTCAGCTTTATGCAGCAAATAGAATTCTACTTTTAAGTAAATGCTTTTTGAATATATTCTAATTAATTCTAACCACTTCTTTTTAACTGTTAAACTTCAAAGCATGCCTATAGGGGACACTAAGAAAATCAGCAACCAGGTTTTTGATGTTTTTTAATATGTTGGCCAAATAATATCAATTAAACCTTTAATGTTTGAGAGCCCTGACCAATGGCTGATGACATTTGAAACTACAGAAGATCCTAATTTACCCTTCAAAATATCCAAAAGTACCCATATCAGCAATTATAAAATAACAACTGAGTGGAAGAAAGCACCCAAAATAAGCTTTTATTATAAAAAAAAGGTCACCTTAAAAGAAGCTGCAAGGAGCTCAAAACCTTAATTAAAACAAGATGATAACTAAAAGAAGCTAAAGAACTTAAAGAAAAAAAAACATAAAGCCTTTTGGCTCTAAAAACTAGCTTCAAAAAACTCTTTCCTGTTCATCACTGATTTGAACAGGATTTTTATTATCGACAAAATAACAACTAACAAAGAAAACAAAGACCCTTTATTTTT